CTGACGCCGGAACCGGGCCGCGGCGTCGAAAAGGTTGGGGATCCCTGGTCTACGGTACCTAATAAAAACCGCAATAGAAATAGTAAAGCCAATGCTGACATTTAGCATAATAAGAGATAAATAAGTAAAAATGTTATCATATCTTAATGAATAGCTTTATGGGTTAGAGCCTACTTCATCCATTATTAGCTTCATTGTCATGTAAATTATGTGATTGAACAGTTGCATGCTAGATCCTTAAGGATTTTCTTTGAGCTTATGGATAGGTTCTTGTATTTTCATCAAACAATTTGTTTGATTCCTCTAGACTCTTGTGGTTAAAGAGGATGATGTTCAACCTATGAATCCTCCAAAATTTGACATGATTGAAGATATGGCTATGTTAACTCATCTCAATGAGGCTTCAGTCCTGCATAACCTGAAACGGCGTTACACCAAGTGGATGATCTATGTAAGTTAGAAGGATAAACACTGTTGATTATACTGTATTACATCCTGTGTGTGAAACAAGCTATCAAATAGTAGATTGTGTGTTATAAAACTCCCACCTGCTAATTTTAATTTCATTAGAAATAGCTATTTTTAAAAATATTAAATATTATATCCTAAATGAATTTGAAACATGGTACTAGAATTGAAACATTTTACATTTTATGTTCTTCTTTAAATTATATCCTTATCAATAGGGCCAGAAAATGACTTAATGCTGGTTCTGAGTTTTAGGGGGCTCGTGAGCAACTTTTGTATTTTTGGACATTTTCCCAGAAAGGGCCAACCTTTTCCTATTTGCTTTCACTGCTACCCCTTCATTTTTGCACCCTATTTAAGCAAAGGAGGTAATAAAAAGAATATGTAGTATTTTCTCACTTACTATTGTTTATTTGATGAAACAGATGAACTGAACTAGGAGATGGAACAGAGAGAATAAAAATCTCTTAAGAGTTGGCAGTGTGCCCTCTACTGGAGTGTAAGCCTTGCTTTTGGTTAATGAACTGTACTATTGGTGTCAACCTGGTTTCCTTTTCTCATAGCTATGCTGTTTCTTTCTTCTCAGACCTATTCAGGCTTGTTCTGTGTCACGATCAACCCATATAAATGGCTTCCGGTCTATACAGCTCCTGTTGTAGCAGCTTATAAAGGCAAGCGGAGGTCTGAGGTCCCTCCCCACATCTACGCCATTGCAGACAATGCCTACAATGACATGCTGCGCAGTAAGTGTCGAATCCAATTTTTTGGGGAAAAAAAATTGTGGGAAAGGAACTTGAAAACCTGATATAGACCTATTCTTCACACTTCCCGGTTGGAGTCAATATGAAGGGGGGTTGCGCACCAACAATATAGAGAGAGCTATGAATTTTACGCAATTGTTTTTCAACTTCAAATGCTTTTTAATATTGCCGGAGTTGTTCATCTCTTCATATGTACCTAGCAGATCAGGTTATCTGGAAATAAAAATTCAGAAAGAAGAGAAAATGGTTTTTAGAGGTAGCACAGACTTGCATAATAATTTATCTAAAGCAGTGGCTCCCAAAGTGGGTGGTGCCGCCCCCTGGGTGGGTGGGATGCCTTAGGGGGGGGGCGCTAAGAGGCAAGGGGGCCGGCAGGGAATTGCTAAGAGGCAAGGGGGGGTGTTCGAGGCGCCAGCCCCGCAGGGTTACCCCATTGACTGTTACACTGCTCCGGAGCCAGTGCCTCGAACACCCCCCCTGTTGTACCTAAAACGCGGCAGTGGCGGCATGTTTGAAAAGTAGAGCAAAGCCAGAGGTCGGTAATTTTTGCTGCAAAGAATCACAAAAGCTTCTGGGCTGGGCACAAGAAGGGTCACACATGTCAATGCAATTCAGCAACATAAAATAAAGAAATACAAATAAAACAAATCAACAAGAATCAGCAAAGCATCTCTGATTAGATTTTATTCACTACTAGAATCTAATCAGAGATGCTTTGCCAATTCTAGTCCAATGACCTGGTCCAGCAGGGTTAGAAGGGAGTGTGTGTGTGTGTGTGTGCATGGTTGTCAAGACTCCAAAAACAGGTCAAGTAGCTCTGGGGAGGCCAGCCATAAATTAGAACACTTGCTAAACAACCAGCCATTAAGTGAGGACCACTTGTCTTTGGTTTGCCAGTCACCTGGCCACGCCCACCCAGTCACATGACCACCAAACCACACCTACCCAGTCATGTGACCAGCAAGCCATGCCCTCAAATTAGGCCACGCCCATAGAAGTTTGACTCCCATCCCTGGGTGGGGGGCACTGAGGATGAGTTTGTAGCACCAAGGGAGCGGTGGACTGAAAAAGTTTGGGAACCACTCACTGGTCTAAAGCAAAAACTTGCAGTAGAGTTCAGCAATTACTTCTGTGATTTAAGAAAACCTGCATTATTTGCCAATGCGAAACTAGCTGTTGAATATTGGAGTTCCCTGTATCACAACTTATACTACTGACATGTTTAGTACAGGTAGTCCTCGACTTACAACCGTTTGCTTAGTGACCATTCAAAGTTATGACACTGAAAAAAATGACTTATGGCCATTTTTCACACTTATGACCATTGCAGCATCCCCACGGTCATGTGATCAATGTTCAGATGCTTGGCAACTGACTAATATTTATGATGGTTGCAGTATTCCAGGGTCATGTGATCACCTTTTGTCACCTTCTGACAAGCAAAGTTAATGGGGAAACCAGATTCACTTAACAACCGTGTTGCTAACTTAAGAATTGCAGTGATTCACGTAACAAGTGTGCCAAGAAAGTTCATAAAATGTGGCAAAATTCATGTAACAAATAACTCGCTTAACAACATACATTTTGGGCTGAATTGTAATCATAAGTTGAGGACTATCTATATAGGAGTGGAATAAGTTATGTATCATTCCAGCTTCATTTCATTTCTACCCAACTGTTCTGAAGAGACTATATATCACTTCAGAATCCATTGAGGGGTTGGTGGATAGTGGCATACAATTGTAACAGAAACATGAAAGTAGAATCCTTCTCTTGAATGTGCTACAGACATACTTTGGGTTTGATTATCTATGGTTAATTAAACTTAACATAAGCACTCCCATATAGATTCAGCTTTCTGTATCTAATATGCTGCCACTATATCAAAAAGATTGATTTGAAACAAGCTCAACGCATGAGCATATATCTATTTAGTTTTACTTAAAAAGTATACATTTTTCCATTTCCTTCTTCCAAAAAGTTAGGTACAGCACCTGATGCAAATGTTCAGTACATCTCTCTCCCTCCCTCCCCCTCCCTCTCTCCCTCTCTCTCCTGTATGTTGAAATCTTCATCTTAATTTCTAAAGTCTGCATAAGGACAGTTTTTTATGAGTCCATTTGAATAGCTATTAAAATATGACCATACCAATGAGTGTATTAGACAGGACAATGAGTCTAATCTCAGATTTATAGCTGGAAACAGAAAGTTAAAAAAGAAGGACATCAGTTTGACTATGAATGGGCTGGTGTTAATGATACAAACTCTAAAAAGAATGACTTAACCTTATTTTTTTTCTTTACCTTACAGATCGAGAGAATCAGTCTATGCTTATCACGTAAGTGCTGTCTCTTATCTGTGCAATCGATATCTCATTTGTATGTGCTTTTGAGTTAAGTTCTTTTTGTCTGTGGTTTCTATATGAAATCAATTCTAGGTAGATCAAGTTTACCATATCATCCTGTTGAGAAAGGAAAGCTGAATTGTTTGGGCAGGCTGCACAATCTTTGAGGAACATAATGATCTCTTCCTGCAGCTCCCTATCCTCTTTCAGTTTGTTATCTCAGATTTTCTGGCTATTATATGTCAGTGAACAGCTGCTACTATTGTCTCAGGGGGCCAACCAAAAATGGGACAACAAATAAATCAGTTTGTATGGTTGATCATCCTTCCTGTGTGCATAATTTTTTTGAGGGCACCATGTCATTTAGGTATTCTGGGGAAGCACTTTCTGTGAAAAAGCCCAATTAAGGCAAAACATTTCATTTATATTATTCCATTTTTCATACTTCATTTGGATATACTCCTGCAAGCATTGTGGTGGTCTATGATTAGTTCAATTGGAAGATACACTGTTGGGAACCTAAATTAGAGCAAGCCCACACCACTTTTGTTTCATTAAACAGGCCCAGTTCAATGGCCATATTTTACCAATCGCTTTCATCAACCATGATAAAATCCCTTGCACTAATGGATATGCCTTGGATGTTTGCACATTTGTCTTCCATACACGAACAAGAACTTAAAAATCAAAACTCTAATGTTAGAAACCAGATCAAACTTACAGAGGAAACAACTGAAGCGATTAAGTATCAGTGGACATTTATGAAAGGGATTAATGGAAAAGAATTGTACAATAGGCTACAAGTAGACTATGAATGACCACAATTTGTAGATGCCAGTAGGAGAATGCCTTTTTAAGAGACCTGAGTATGGGTACAAAAAGTCTATGAGATTGTAGCATAAAAGGGAAAGAATAAGAAATCAAAGTTGGAGACTGAACAGTGGGCAGGAATTATGAGAAAAGGGGATCTTGGGAGAAATTAGGCTAAGCCCCATTTGTAAAAAGAAAGAAAGGGAAGAAGTATTAACTGAAGCAGCCATGGTGATGCTATAAAAAGCTTAATCTGCTTTCCCCCCCCTCCCCAAGCTTCTAGTCTTGGCCATGGCCTAATTAGGTAAAGCAGGGGCTGAAAGCATGAGATGTTTGGCTCTAGGCCTGCAGAGACCTCATTCCTACCCCCACCTCAGGATAGCTCTTTGTGTGGTGGGATTACAATGGAAGGGCAGCTAACTTTAGGCATGAAATCAATGCCAGGCCAGTGCCATTGAACTTTATTGATAGCACAGAAGACGATCCCAGTCTAAGTGAAAAAAGGTTCAATATCTTGCTGAGCTTGAGTTCCTCTTTTTGGAGAATTTAATTTTACATGTGGTTGAATCAACTTTTCATACTCGTCTCTTGAAATATAAAGAAACTCTATGATTTTACTTTTCATTCCTGAAAGCAATTAAAATAATTTTCTATGTGTGAAAAGTGTGAAACTGCTTCGTATAGAACAGCAAAGGAAGTGGAATCTTGTGAATTTCTGCACTTCCTACAACAGAAAACTGTTTCTATTTAACACAAATTAATGATTAAACAGCTTGTATCCTAGCTTTTACTTTCTGGAGGAATGCTAAAATCTACAGGCTGAGCCAATCTAGCCCATTTAGTCAACAGTTCCTGGGAAGGGATGGGGGTAGGAAAGGGAACTCATATCAATGATGCTGCCTTGTTTCTTCTTGCTAGTAAATAGGTTCCAGTGCAGAGTTTATCTAGAACAGAGGTGTCAAACTCACGGCATCACATTTTCATCACATGACATATCGTGACTTCCCCCCCATTTGCTAAACAGGATGTGAGTAGCCAGTGTATAATGCATCTGGCCCACGGGCCGCAAGTTTGACACCCCTGATCTAGAACTATGTACGGCAGAAGCTCTGAAGTGGCAGTTTTTCCAGAATCTCTTAGTGCAGAATGTTAACATCCTTTAATCTTCAAGACTGTAACCTGTACAGATGTTCCAGATGCATCTAGAATACATGCATATATACATGCAGAAGCTTTTACATGCATGTAACTTGATCTTTCCCAACTTGTACTGCCAGATATATTGAAATGGCATCTCTCAGAATTTCCAATCAACTCAAGGTCAAAATCTTTGTTGTACAACAGATATTTTGATGTAATCAGTAGCAGGGTTTTTTTTTGTTTCTAATGTTTGTTCAATTTGTATGAAAAAAGTCAAATAGTATTATGCTTATCATATTGATACGCTAAATTGTAATAGATAGAAAAAAATAATCCAATCAGTTGATGACCGTGCTGCTTAGGAATCTGGAGAGAGGAAATTGTATTTTAACAGATTTCCCTGTGTCTCAACTCACGCAAAGCTCAGATGCAACCGCTGGACTTCAAACCATATTTTTCAAAGCAGCACAGGCCTTTGTCCACCCATATTGCACACAAGGCAAAAGTCAAGGCAACAA